GAGAGGAGAGGAGAGGAGAGGAGAGGAGAGGAGAGGAGAGAGAGAAATGAGAGAGGAGAGAGAAGAGAGGAGGGAGAGAGAAGAGAGGAGAGAGAGAGGGAGAGGGAAAGGGAGGGAGGGGGGAGAGAGAGAGACAAAGGGAGAGAGAGAGAGACAAAGGGGGAGAGGGGGACAGAGAGGAGAGAGAGAGGGAGAGGGAAAGAGAAGAGAAGAGAAGAGAAGAGAGGAGAGAGAGAGAAACGAGAGAGGAGAGAGAGAAAGAGAGAGAGAGAAGAAAAGAAAAGAGAGGAGAGGAGAGAGAGAAACGAGAGAGAGAAGAGAGAGGGGGAGGAGAGGAGAGAGAGACAGAGAGAGCAGACAGAGGCAGATTGAAGTAGATAAAGATAGATAAGGCAGAATATTTAGTAAGCTAATAATAATGACAGCTGGCATTTACATAGCGCTTTGAGGTTTGCAAAGCACTTTACACATATTATTTGATTGTTTTCTTCATTTTAGAGACGAGACGTTTAGGTGCCAGGCACTGAATGAGCGCAGCACAAAAACTAACCTAATGATTTTTTTTTATTTCCAGCTACAATTTTATGCCTCCCACACCATGCAGCCCCGCCCCTCACGGAAAAGCCCCGCCCTCTTAGTGAAGCCCAGCCCCGCGGCGTGTCCTGTGCCTCGCATAGCCCCGCCCCTCGCGCCTTGGCCCGCCCCCTTCCTGGCCTCACTGGCCCGTCAGTCACCCGCGGCCCCCCCCATGGCCCCCCCTGGGCAGCAGTGCGCCTGCGCCGGAGGCGCCCCAGCCGTTGAGGGCCGTTGGCGAGGCCGAGGCGCTCGGAGCTGCTATGACCATCACGTACAGCTGCATTGCTAATGGCCAGGTGATCCTGGCCGAGCTGGCCCTGACCGGAGGCTCCTATCAGGTAGCCACCCCTCCCCGCTCGCTCGTTGCTAGGTGAACTCTGCGGCCCTGCGACATGTTGCCTCCAGGGGTCCTCTGAGACCGCAGTCTCTTCTTCCCCGGGTTGTCCTCGCGGCTGTCCCGCTTCAGGGAAGGGCTTTGTTTTTAGGCTCAGAGCCCCGAGGGAAAGAGGAGGTGGCAAGGGACCCACCACGATAAATTACTGATTGAAAGGAGAGTGAATCCCCCTTAACCCACTCCCAGGCCTTTGACAGCTCCTGACTTAAAGAAAATTAAGACCCTACCTTAATTTAATTTACATTTTAATTAAATTAATTAAATGTACACTTTATTGTATAGATAATAAGGTGAATAGTTATATAGCTATATAGTTAATAAATAATAAATATAATATTTATTAAATAATAAATAATAGTTAATAAACATTTTATTGTATATTTTCATTCACCACGTGCATACCTATGGGATCCGCCCAACTCCTGCCCTTACCTTAGGCTATCATGTCCCAAAAGTCTTGGTGCAGTTTTAAACCTCTGGGCCACTGATTAAGGAGGGAGGAAGGAAACAAGCATTTATTAAGCCCCTACTGTGTGCATGACACTGGGCGAAGCACTCTACATTGAGCATCTGGTGCGTGGAGTGTTAGCTGCAATCAAGAAGAAAAGACTCGGGTTCAAATCTCACTTCTGAGCCGTCCTGGCCAAGTGACTCCAGCCCCCAGGGCCCTGGGCAGTTCCATGAGATGATAAATTTCAGAGAAAGTGGGGCCTGCCATGGTTAGGGGGAGTTTGTTCCCCAAGAAGGAGGGAGGAATGAAGAGATGGAAGCACAAGCCTCCTCCCTGTTTCTAGTGTGGGAGAGGAAGTCTAGGAAGGAGCTGACCCGGGGACAGGTCCTGCCTCTGACCTGCCACAGGCTGGAACCCTGGCAAGGGGTCCAGGAGCTTCCTAAGGCTGCAGCATATGCCTGCACATGTATAATCTATGTCAGATGGCTAGCCTTCTGGTGGGGGGAGGGAGGGAGAGGGGGAGAGAATTTGAAACGTAATTATTTTTAAGTAAATGTTAATATAATTGGAAAATATATGTGTATAAAATTTTACTTAAAAAAAAGACTACAATATAGTCCAGAGCAGGTAACAAGATGATTTGATAAAGAAGCCCCCCTTGCAGGTAAACCACAGGTTTGGTCCAAAATAAATCTGGGGGGTGGGGATTCTTCTTTGGCCCTATAAACCTTAAGTGACAGTATAATGGGGACAAAGATTTACCAACCAGTATAAAACCAGTATAAAAGGAATCAGGACATGTAAGTCCATGCAGATCCACTAGGAAACATCCGCTAGCTGTGTGACCCTGGGCAAGTCATTTCACCTCTGTTTGCCTCAGTTTCTTTATCTGTAAAACAGGGGACATCATAGCACTTACCTCCCAGGGTTATTGTGAGGATGTGATGAGATGCTTGTAAAGCGCTTAGCACTGTGCTGCTATGTTGTAAACCATTTGGAAGTGTTAGCTACTATGAGAGCTTAGCACACGCTAGTACCTAATAAACCCTACATAAATATTAGCTATTATCATACAAAGCAGCAGGTCTGACCCCGCTTTAAATCCCGCCCTCTTGGCACTGCTTGGTGACTTTACAACCTCCCTAGGCCCAAGTTTCCTTATCTGTGAAATGAGAAAGTTAGACCGCGTGTCCTCCGAGGTCCTGTCCACCTTTGGGTCTGTGATGCTGGTGATTCCCTTTGTAAGGAGGCATTGCCGCTTCTCGCTCGCCCCCTCTTCCCGTTTTTCTAACAATGACCCAGAATTCTCCAGTGTTACTTTATGGAGTGTTGAACTGTCGCCTCCCCCAAGCTTTGGGAGGTGGAGGAAGGGCATGATTAATCAGTATCAATGGCTAAACTACCTAAGTGGTGGTGGGGCCACGGCAGAAGTTGCTTGTCCTTCGTTCTCGATGAGGACCATGACATCAGGCAGGTGATGCCGTGACATGCAAGCGAATTGGATTTAAGCGAGGTAGGCTGTGCAAAGTCACCAGCCTCACTCTCTCGTCCGGAGCCATCTGGGTCCGGTGGCCAGATATCATGAGAAGACACCGGGCAAAAGTGGAGGCTCTTTCTGAAAGGCAAATGCCCACGAGCCCTGCCCCCTGACTCAGAATTCAGTGTGCAGGATTCCTCGGGGCACCTGGAGAGAGAAAAAGGTTTGGGACCACTAGCTAGTGAAAATACGATTGCTGTTTTTATTTGAAACGAGAAATAGGGAGGGCACTTGGCATCCTTTCCTCTTTCTAGAAGAAAGCAGTGAATCTTTATAGATAGATATTTTTTGCCTGGTTTCCTCTGAGCCCTTGAGTCTGGACAGAGGTAGAGGCTGAAATGAGAAGCTGAGATGTCTGACGGTAATTCCGTGAAGACAATGCGCCCAGTTTAAATTGGCCCCCTGGTGACTGGTGCTGATGAAAAGCCGCAGCATGGCTAGACGGTCCTGTGTGTGGTAGAAACCACTGTCAAGGCTTGGCTAGGATGCGCTGAGACAGATTTTCTTGTGTGCTTGGGCATCTATGATATATAGCCTTCTTTCTCCCAGTGGACATGAATATGTATAATGAACATGACATTGATTACTCACAAACCAGGCTAAACTTAGCATGATCCAGTTCATTTATTAAGGAAGAACAAGTGTATATTTATACATCTTCTGTTTGTTTCTCTACAACAGACTGAACATTAATAGTTTATTTTTAGGACGCAGTTTCATCAGTGCTAAAACTAGTGCTTCTAAAACCTGAGAAAAAGACCACAGCCCGAATTGGAAGGTAAGGGGGGGTTCTAGGGTTGTGGTCTGCACCAATTACTTTTAGCGGCTCCCACTTAATGGTTGTACTGCTCAGAAATAGAGAGGGGGCATAGTACGTGATACTGTAAAACAACTTTAATTAGACTGACTGAAGCTTTAAAAACAGTCTGAACCATCCAGCTCTTTCCTTCCTATCATGCCAGTTATTCACGGTAACAACTACCTTGGTGTTTGGAAAAATTAGAAACTTTTTCTCAGCAAATATCCAGATTTAGAAATAAAGATGTTTTAGAGGGAAGGATTACATGTATTATTCACTGTCAACAAAAATTAAGAGAACCATGTGTGCATTTATCCCTTCCACCTCCCAGGGCCTAGGGGCCGGTGCGCCTGCGATCTGGGAAATCCGCGTAAAATTTTTGGGTCCTCTCTTTGTACCAGAGAAGAAAAAATTTGTGTATATTTATGGTATTCGAAGATAAAATATATTGATATTATACAATACTGTACATATATTTTATGCATTTCGGAGTTTCCAAACTTCTGTGTTGTTTGTGGCTTCTGCAAAACTCCCCAAAAATTCCCATTTAATTTCTTATGCCGACCCACAATATATCAAAACCGTGATGGGGAAAGTCGCGACATGGAAGGGATAACTGTGTATCATAGTGCTAAAGACTACTGAGAATTTGTATATGGAAAGGACACATTTATCATTTCTGTTTTCTCCTGGACCATGTATATGACGAGTTTGGTAAAGCTCCTTCATATTTAAAGGCTGGTCCTGCCTGGGCCAGACTGAGCAGTGTTAATGGCCCCTCATTAAAACAAAGGCCGCCACTTGACAGATTTACTCCTAAGATGTCTGGACTGCCTTCTGTCCCCCTAGATTGGGGAGTCTATCAAAAACTGGAATGTAATTAAAAGATAGAATGGCTGGGTAGACCGAGGCATAGGGGACGTGCCAAAAGTGCCTCCCTCAAGTTTTCCCACATCCCCCACAGTAAAAAAAGGGCCAAAAATGTGAGCTGCCAGTCCACAAGCCCTTGTCAAGTACCTACTATACATCAGGGCCCTGTGCAAAGTGCTGGGGACTTTCCTCTCCAAAAGTAAACAGATGGTCAAGCAAATGAACATTTTCCTATACAGCCAGAACAAAATGTGGACCCCCCCCCAGGGCAAATGAGTGGCATCTGACAGAGCTATTTTAAAACGTATACTGAGATAGCATTTGGGGTAGAACATAAATAGTTCATTTTCAAATGTCAAACTATATTAAATTTAATTTCAATAAAGATTTATTAGACACCATGCTAGGTGAAGGACCTACAGAAATGAAGTACGATAGAGTCCTGACTTCAAGAAGCTTATGATCTATGGGGGAGTGGGGAAGAGAAATGAAGGGGGGAAGTGGGGAAGATAGAATATATACATAGTTAAATAAATAATTTCAAGAAAAGCAAAAAACGCCTCATATCAGAGGTGACATCTGAGCTATGCTTTGGGGCAAGCTAAAAATTGTGCTATAGATCGTGTGAAGTCCATATCCCATTTGAGGTTGACTAGGAAAAATGTCAACTATTTCACAGCTAGAGTTTCCTAGATAGAGATAGCTTGATTAAGCTACATGCCTTTCTCTTAATTTTGTTTGTTAAATATGTATTCGATAGGTGAATTTCGGCAAAATGATGATGTAAATGTATGTATCTTTTCAAAGCTATGTCTACCATACTCTCCTTGCTGACGGAATCACTTACTTGTGCGCCACAGACAATCTCATGGATGTTACTTTACCATCTGCGTTTCTTGATGAGGTAAGGAATTTTTTTAGGCTAAGTTAAGAACTTTATTTTAGTTACCGAATTTCTGTAAGATTTCTGTGTTCAGATTCATATGTGAAAGTCTAGCAGTCTAGCCTCAGAGACCAAAATTGCAAATATTTTAGGACATTGACTATAAAAACTAGCATTGAGTGGAAGGAGAACAGAGCATTAATGGTCTACAAAGATTTCAGGCTACCCTCAATCTTACCCTTCACCTTTTCCTCTGCTTTTGTATCTGTCTTCTTGGGAGAATGTTTCTGAAAAAAGGAATCTAACTCAATTACCCTGGGTGGATGAAAAAAAAATCAAGAAATGACAACTTTTAGGAAAATCAGAATACTTTTCAATTGGAAAATGGGCTAAGAATGCGTTACGTGGCAGACATGATAATAATGGTTAGCCTTCCTATCGGACTTTAAGGTTTGCAAAGTGTTTCACAAATATTGATGTTGATATTGTGTGTATGTGTCCATATGAGAGGCGGCACAGTGTGGCAGGTAGAGAGCCAACCTCCAAGTCAGGAAGCCCTGGGTTGAAGGCCTCATTGAGGCATACAGCTGACGCCAGGCAGGGCATTCAACCTCTCGCTGCCAGGGCAGGTCGAGGAGATCCTAAGCAGCTACTGATGTCTGTTGGGTAGAGGGAGAATCATGACCAGAAGGTGTCTTCACCAGTGGAATCACAGATCTGGGGAGGGGGTGTGTGTGTGTGTGTGTGTGTGTGTGTGTCTGTGTGTGTGTGTGTCTGTGTGTGTGTGTGTCTGTGTATGTCTGTGTGGATCAGGTAGTTCTATAGCAAATTCTCTACCAAGTTAGGGTTTTCTTGGCAAAGATACTGGAGCAGTTTGCCATCTCCTTCTCTAGCTCATTTTACAGATGAAGAAACTGAGGCAAACTGGGTTAAGTGACTTCCCCAAGGCCACATAATTAGTAGGTGTCTGAGGATGGATTTGACCTCAAGGAGATAGGGCTTCCTGACTCCAGGCCCAGCCCTCTATCCACTGTGCCCGCCAGCTGTCCCCGGGCAGGGGATGGAGGTGTATCTGTCATCCAACAAGCAGCCCCGCCAAATTCAGACTCGTACCCAAAAGATTATTCATAATATGACATCTCCTTTTGGCTACACTGAGGCATGGGGGGATTGGGATCTCCACTGAGAGAGGGTGTATCCAGACAGATGAAATCACATGTATCCTTTACACACACACACACACACACACACACACACACACACACGTCTAAAATTAACAAGTGGACATCACATAGGACAGACCCACACAACTTGGCAGTAGGTAGAGGCCGAAATTAAGAGGCTAAACTTCCTGGGGCCGCAGACAGACAGATGACGGTTGGTTGCTGCTTTTCAGGTGACCAACAGGCCCGTTCGCAGTGGCAACTCCACATTTCTCACAGGCTGCCCGAAATCTTCTGGCAGGCTACAAGCTGCCCGCAGGCCGTAGTTGTGCAAGGCCTGATATAGGATAACTTCCTTATGAGTATTTTTAGGACCTTCATTATTCTAACAGCAGTTCCCTGTTTGTTGTTAGTTAAAAGTGTCTTGCAGTTTGTTGGGAGGAAAGTATTTATAGACCATAAATCACTCTTTATTATGTATTATTTGGAGCCTAAAAGAAAGAGACAGAGACGAACTCCGATCCCGGCCTCTCGGTGGTTCACCTTGTGGGGGGTTTCCTTACAAGACATGAGCGATGAGCAAGCTCCGGCTTCATTTTTATTGACAAATGTACAATTCAGATCAGAGGTTTCAACAAATGTGAATTTATAAAAAAATCAACAAGCTAACCTTCAGGACGCACAAGTTGTGTCCATGAGTCATTTATATTGATCCTCATTTCTGGTCGTCTGGCTCCTAATAAATGGAAGTGCAACGGACAGAATGTGCAGCCTGGAGTCAGGAAGACACTTACCAGCTGGGAGACCTTGGCCAAGTCACTTTCCCCTGTTTGCCTCAGTTTCCTCATCTGTCCAATGAGCTAGAGAAGGAAATGGCAAACCACTCTAGTATCTTTGCCAAGAAAACCCCACATGGAGTCATGGAGAGTCAGACGCGAATGAACAACCAAAACCTCTTAAATGCAGCCTCTTCCCATGCTGATCTGTGTGTGCTAACGTTTTGGTTACATGATTTAATTTCTAAATCAAACGCACACAGAGTCAACATTCACGTGGCCACTTACTGGTCGAACCTGTATAGCAATCAATCTACAAACATGCTTAAGTTCCAGCTATGTGCCAGGTGCCCCATGGGGTACGCCCTGGGGATACAAAGTCAGAAATGCAACCCTTTCTGACCTCAGGGAGCTCTCTTGGGGGGGAAGCCTGTGACATTTACATAAATAAGCATAACAAAACAGATCAAAGTCCACAGGTTGGTAAGGACTGTCTTAGGAAGGCGGCATCTGGAAAGCTTGTAGAGTAAGGAGAAAACTCCAGGTCTGGGAAACAGCCGGGGTGAAGGCATAAAGAACGAAGGCTAGAAGAGCTCTTTGGCTGGACCGTGGAGGGCAGAAAAGGGGGCAATGTATAACATTAGCAAGGTAGGTAGGTCCAGGCCAGTTTGCAAAGGGCTTTAAAAGCCAAACAAAGGAATTGACATTGATCTTAGAGGCCACTGGAGTTTGAGGACAGGCTCCCCTGCACTTGGCCAGCTGTGTGGGTATGGTGCATTGACCAGGGAGAGCCTGGAAGCAAGGAGGCTGAGGTGAGGCCAGCCCACAGCCGGCACAGAGTTGAGAGATGCCGGCACAGAGTTGAGAGATGCTGGCTCGCTCCTGGTTGGTGGGAGCTCTCCATAACCGCTCGGCTCCACCACCACGCTGCCTGAGACTCTCCGGCCCCTTCAGGCCTGCGACCCCAACCCCTGCCTTCAACCCTGCCTTGTCGTGCTTACGGAGGTGGCCCTCTGAACAGTAATCAGATCACACCATTCCTGGCAAGAACATCTCAATCAACTGCCTTATGGCCCTCCTCACCATCCCCCAGACTTCCCGGCTCAAACCCCGGCCTCAGCCACCGTTCCCTGATACCTAAATGCCAGGGAGGCAGGACCAATCTCATTTTGTATTTGTAGCCCCAGCACAGGGCAGCATAGAGCCTGGCACATAGGAAGCACCTGCTGAATGCTTTTTCATTCATTCATTCATTCATTCATTCATTCGTTCAGATAGGAAGGGCAAGATTGGCCTCTGATTGGCTGTATGAGGTGAAGGAGGGTAAGAAATCAGGAGTAACCCCGAGGGTGTGAGCTCAGGTGACTGGAGAGATGGTGGGACCCTTGACAAAAATAGACACGTGCAGGGAGGAGGATAGTGAATTTAGTTTTGAACATGTGGAGTTTGAGATCCCCACGGGGAATCCAGTTTTAAATATTCACTGGGCAGACGGACCACAGACAGGAAGTCACCATCGTCTGCGGGCAGAGGCTGCAGAGGCTGTGGGGGGTGACTATGCAAGGCTTCCCCGGGCCCTTTTGGGGGCTGGCAGCCACCGGCACATGGCTCTCCTCCCCACATGTAAAGCCTGTGCTGCCCATATGGATGACATGTGTCCACATGGGTGGTCTCAGCGTGGCTCACGAGGAGACGTCGATAGATGAATCTGGAGTGTTATGGTTCCTGCTCTGAGGGGAGTGGGAGAAGGGGCCAGGGAACAGCCTCTCTGTTCTCCCCTGAGAGGCAGGGGGGCTGCACTAGAATTCTGTCACTCTGCCCTTCCTATGTTGCTGGCATAGACACACAATTTTGTAGGCTCAAAAGCTGCTGGGTTCCCAGGTTTCAGTCCCTTAAGGGGTCATCCACAGGGCTGATCCTTTCCCCCCACATGCTAGTTATGCCGAAGATCATCACAGGCAGCTGGTAGCACAACCGATAGACAGAGCACTGGGTCTGGAGCCAGGAAGATCTGAGGTCGAATCCAACCTCAGACACGTACTAATTGTGTGACCATGGGCAAGTCACTTAACCTGTTTGCCTCAGTTTCCTCATCTATAAAATGGGAGCAATGGGAGCCTCTTCCTCCCAGGATTGTTGTGAGAATCAAATGAGATAATAGTTAGTATCAGTAGTGGTGAATAATGAGGAAAGCCATTTGTCAGGCAGATAGCAAACAGAAATCACAGATGGTTTACAGTTTAGAATATACCATAAAATGTACAGAATTAAGGCGTTCTCCCGGGATGGGGTGGGGGCGTGTCTTGACTCAGCCAGAAAAGATGCCCTGATCTCACCCACAAGGAAGCTGGAAATCAGGGACACTTTGAGGCACTGGCTTCCCCTAAGTGTTTGCTATTTCCAATGCCTTTTTTTTTGTCTCCTCCCATGAGTCCATCCCAGAAAGTATTGACAGTATATGTGCTCAGTCTCAAAGCAGGAATAAAGAATGTCTCTCCTCTCCAAAGGTCTCACACCAGCTCTGCCCCTCATTCAGTCACACAGGGACATATATGCCTCTGATCCAGAATCACCCTCTCCAGGCAGCACGCAGCCCTCCTGGCTTGGTCAGGAGTTGGGTTCATTTACGTAATGCCTTTACCTACTCACAACTAACAAGCATTTATTAAGCACTTAATATATGCAAGACGGCGTGCCAGACGCTGGAGATGCAAAGGCAAAAAAGGAAAAAAAAAGAAAAGAAAAGATAAACCAAAACTGTTGGACCCCAGGACCTCTAGAATGCCTCCCAACCAGGGGTGGGCTGGTGCCATCTCAAACCGGCTCCAGAATAGCGAGTGTTCTATTTCAGCATGAGTGTTTATGCCTCACAAATTAGCAAACTCTACCAACCAGGGCATGGTTTGTCATGTTGTTGATTGTCTAGACGTAAGAAAGTGAGGTGGAAGAGATTAATGATGCAGATTCAACTGAAAAGTAGGCTGTGTGTACATTTTTTCCAGAAAGCCCATTGTTAAACATTTACCAGCCCAGTCTTCCTTCCCACTTGAAAATTCCATGATTAAATGAGATTCGAATGTGAAGAGCTCTTATCCCCAGAGGGGACACACCCTGCGAGAGCCAGAAGGGAGCCTGGAGATCATTTAGTCTAGCTCCCTGACTTTACAAAGCTGGGATGGCCAGGACGGGGACGGAGGTAATCTGGAGACATTTGTAAATACAGTGATGCTAGGCTTCTAAAGGGTTAGAAATCTTGAATTTTTAGTCTTTTGCTATGGACCTGAAATGTACCTTAATTTTTTTTATAATTTTTCAGTTATTTTTCAATAGATATAATTATAGATGAGTGTTTTCATTGCTTTCTCTAGGTGAGCAGAACTTGTTCTGAAAATCCCTTGATGTTTCAAGAATCTTTTCCTCCTTCAAATGCAATTGTTGCAGATTTTCAACAAGTGCTGGGGAGATGCATGGTAAGCAGTCTGGGAGTCCGATGACTATTTGATGCAGTTACCACCATGGTCCTTTAAAAGCGCATCCAGGTGCCCCTTGGAGTTATGAAAAGGTCACAAGATGAGTGTGCTGTGATATATTGGAATAGTAGGCAGTTCTGCTCCTAATCAAAAGACCTAAAGGAAGAACATTATATTTACCAAAGAGATCTCTGAGGATAACAGTGTGGGTGGGTCCTCCACCATGCAGATTAAAATATTTCCAAGCCTTCTTGAACAACTACAGACTAAAAAAAAAAAAAAAAAAAAAATCCATCACCTGCCCACCACCTAGTAATGAGCCTGTCACTTAGCAGCCCAGTTGGTCCTGGACCAGGCAGCATGCCATCCATTGTTGGACCCACACTCCAAGCCTGAACACCACTAGTGTTCAGTGAGCAGACCTTCCAGCACTCCAGATTAAGCCCTTGCCATGAAGTATTGGGCTAGGATTTTAGTGGAGTTAATAATATTCCTAGCCTGTATTTCTGTTGTGCTAAGACTTCACAAAAGGCTGGACCAGCCCTGTGTCATCTGCCTTTCATAATGTTGTCGTACAACTGTACGTGGTGAGAGCTGCAGGTATTACTAGAGGAGCTTAGAAAGAGGAGGCTATCATTTGAGGAGAGTAAGTGATCTGCTCAAGGTCACATGGAAAGGTGAGAAGGTAGAATGGCAGCTCACTGGATGGGAGAGGTGAGAAGAGGAGAGAGTTAAAAATAACTCTCTGGGTTGTGAATCTGGGTGACTGGGAAGGACTATGGAAGGTGTACCATGACATACGGAGTAGGATTCTGGTAGTGATAATAATAATCGACATTTATATGGTGCTTTAAGGACTTAGAAAGTATTTTATACACATTGCCTTATTTGACCCTAACACCAGTAAGACATGGTAATACTTGTAATACATAATTGTAATACAGCCCTGGAAAATTATACAGAAATAGGGAAGACTGAGAAGAGAAGGTAATGATTTCTGTTTGAACAGCCTATGGGACTTCTAGAAAGTAACTGATACCGTGTCGCTAGAATCACGGAAAGGCCAGAGATAGAGATTTGGGAGTCACGCACATAGAAATGATCACTGGGTCATTGGAGATGATGAGCTCTTTGAGAAAGCACATGTACTGAAAGAATGGGGCCCAGGACAAAGGTTTTGGAAGTCTTTGTGCTCAGAGGGTAGGAATTGCATTACGATCCACCTAAGGAGACTGAGGTGTCCCTAGACAAGTAAGGGCAAAGGCAGGAGAGAGCAGTGTCACAGAAAGAAGCCAAGGGAGGCCAGAGGGGCAGAGCTGGTGTGAGACCTTTGGAGAGGAGAGACATTCTTTATTCCTGCTTTGAGACTGGGCACGTACACTGTCCATGCTTTCTGGGATGGACTCATGGGAGGAGAGAAAAAAAAGGCATTGGAAATAGCAAACACTTAGGGGAAGCCAGTGCCTCAAAGTGTCCCTGATTTCCAGCTTCCTTGTGGGTGAGATCAGGGCATCTTTTCTGGCTGAGTCGAGACACCCCCTCCCACCCCATCCAGGGAGAACGCCTTAATTCTGTGCATTTTATGGTATATTCTAATCTGTAAACCGTCTGTGATTTCTGTTTGCTATCTGCCTGACAAATGGCTTTCCTCATTATTCACCACTACTGATACTAACTATTATCTCATTTGATCCTCACAACAATCCTGGGAGGAAGAGGCTCCCATTGCTCCCATTTTATAGATGAGGAAACCGAGGCAAACAGGTTAAGTGACTTGCCCACGGTCACACAATTAGTACGTGTCTGAGGTTGGATTCGACCTCAGATCTTCCTGGCTCCAGACCCAGTGCTCTGTCTATCGGTTGTGCTACCAGCTGTCTGTGATGATCTTCGGCATAACCAGCATGTGGGGGGAAAGGATCAGCCCTGTGGATGACCCCCTGCTGGAGTTAGGATTCAGATCCTTGTTAACCTTGAAGAGTAAATAATGAAAAGTGAATGAATGAAAAAGAATCCACTAAGCAGTAACTGTGTACCAGGCACTACTGAGCACTGGGAATACCCAAAACAAGCAAGCAAGATAGGCCCTGCCCGCAAGGAGCTCACACTCTCATGGGAAAGGCAACACATAAAGGAGGCCAGCAAGTGGGGAGGTGGTGTGGCTCTGGGAAAGGCAAGTCAGGCTCACCTGTCGCAGCCCAGGGTTCCTTGGAGAGAGCAGTCTACATGGAATGGAAGGCTGGAAGCCAGATCATAGAGGACGGAGAAATGGGCGGGTGGTGAGAGAGTGGAGGCTGTGATTCTGGACGATTCTTTGTATACTTGTGGCTTTTTTCTTTCTGTGTAGGGCCTCCCTGAAACATAGGCTTGAGGAGGGGGATCTCTGAGTCAGAGAAGATAAACATTTTAATGGCTTACTGCAGAACTCCAAATTATTTTCCACAATGATTAATGTCTAGCAATTTATAGTTCCACTAACAATGTGTTATTATGCGTGTCTCCCCTGGACCTCGCCAACAAATTGCAGAATATCTGGGAGTCAACCTTCCGAGACACGTTCAAGACTATATGTGTGTGTATGTATATACAGATACACACAAACACACATACATATACATGTATTTGTGTGTATTTACACATACCTATGTGTATATATACACATACATATATACATACATATATTGTATATGACTATATACTGTGTATAAATATGTATACAATTACAAAACACTCTTTACAGAAATATATAAGCACAAATAATTGGAGAGCTACTCATTATCCATAGGCTGTATCAATGTAGTAAAAATTATAATACTGCCTCAATTATTTAATTAATTTATATAATTTACTATTAATAATTAACAGATTTACAAACTGAGTACATTAGTGAAGAAAAGATGGGGAGGGTCATGTGGCAAAAGTGAGAGATGACAGGTAGCCAGTGCCCCACCGGTACCCTCCTGAGCTTTGGGCAGAACCTTGGATACATTCCGTGCCCCCGAAGCTTCTTCATCCTGGAAGCTCCCACCAGCCCTGGAATTCACCCACTGGAAGTCCCCACAGCCCTCAGGGGCCTCTCTCTCAGTGGATGACTTCTCCCAGAACTGCCACTTAAGGGAGGGCATCCAGACTAGGCATGTCCCATTCCTCTCCAGCCTGGACTCAGGATTTTCTCTACCATCCCCCATACGCCCTGGCCATCTTCACCCCACCACTTTTCAGCTTCCTTTTATGCGCCACCTTCCCCCGTTAGAAGGTGAACTCTTTGAGGGTAGGGACTGTGTTTCTGTTTATATTTGTATTCCCAGTGCTTAACACTGTGCCAGGCATGCAGTGAGTTCTTAAATGCCTGTTGACTGAGAACATGGACACAAGCTAAGCGGGCTGGGGAGTCAGTCAGCAAGCATGCATTAAGCACCTAGTGTGTGTCAGGCACTGAGCTAAGCACAGGGATTCAAAGACAGACAGAAGACAGCCACCGCCTTCCGGGAGCTCCTTGTATTCCGCATTCTTGGCAAACTCCAGATTTACGAGAAAAGGCCTCTGCAAACCCTGGATCCAACTGCCAACGGATTATTTCACAAAATTAGACAATAACAACATTCATTCGGAAGAACAAAAAGCCTGGAATCTCCGAGGAAATAATAGGGGGAAAGTTGGAACAAAGGGGGAATGGCACTTTCAGACTGAAGACTACCTCATGGAGCACTTAGCATCAAAACGATTCGGCACTCTGTGTGCGTGCTTGTGTGTGGTGGTTTTTCTAAAGTCAATCAACGGAACAGAACAAATAATCAGACTCAGAAACACCCCAATTCCCTGGCTGAGGTTCGAAGCTTGGTGTCAGTGAAGCCGTGTGGATGCTTTTCTGGTGTTCATTAATGAGGCCTCTAACGAATATTGCCAGGAATCAAAGACAAGGTCAGTGTCCTCTAGGAGGGACTGCCCTCTGATTCCCTTTGTAAGAGACACCTGCTGAGACAACCCTGGCCCCTCCCCTGTGCCTCAGCACCCCTCCTGTGCCCTTTCACAGGTTGGGCCTATAGTGGATCCCAGCCAGGACCTGGTGAGCTAACTCCGCAAAAGGGAGTCTTACTTCTAGATTTGTGTTCTACATTTCTCAGCCCAAATAGTAGTCTCCTTCAAAAATGAAGCCAAGGCAAAAGAAAAACTGAGCAGTTCTGCTTTTGTTCCATCCTCATTTGCCAACATTACAGCCCCCCTGAGCTGCAGCCTTACCCGGGCTTTCATTCTTCTCTTTTCACCAAACAGAACTTTAAAAAAACAAAACAAAACAAAACCACCTTTTTGTGATGCTTTGCATTCCTTACAAGCCTCAGCTCATTATTCATTTTAACACTCTGGGTGCTTTTTTTTAAATAATATTTTATTTTTTCCAAATACATGTAAAGATAATTTTCAACATCCATTTTTTATAAGATTTTTGAGTTCCAGATTTTTTCTCCCTCCCTCCCTCTCATCCCTCCTCCCCAAGACGGCAAGCAATCTGATGATAGGTTGAGCATGTGCAATCACGTAAACATATTTCCACATTAGTCATGTTGTGAAAGAAAAACCAGAACAAAAGGGAAAAGGTACAAAAAAAAAAGTGAAAATAGGATGCTTTGATCTTCATTCAGACTCCATAGTTCTTTCTCTGGATGTGGATAGCATTTTCCACCATGAGTCTTTTGGAATTATCTTGGATCATTGTATTACTAAGAAGAGCGAAGTCCACCACGGTTGGTAATCGTACAATGCTACTGTTACTGTGTACAATGTTCTTTTGGTTCTGCTCACTTCACTCTGCATCAATTCATGTAAATCTTCCCAGGTTTTTCTGACATCCGCCTGCTCGTCATTTCTTATAGCACAATAGTATCCCGTTACATTCATATACCACACCTTGTTCAGCCATTCCCCAACTGATGGGCATCCCCTCAATTTCCAATTCTTTGCCACCACACAAAGATGGGCACTATTTTTATAGGACCAATTAT